CAGGATGGTCCCTGCCAGGAGCAGACTCCACTCTGTGGTCCTCGCCCCTCAGTTACTGCATGTGCGATGTGGACATTGTGGGGGGCTCGCAGAGAGGTGCCACTGGGGCCCCCAGCGGGCAACCACCCTGGGGTGAGAGGCAGGCTCCCCACCAACTCACTGGGGGAGATGGACTCAGCCTTCCAACAGGTCTCTCCCAAGATCCCCTCTCTTCTCCATGGCCTTGACCCTTTTACAGTCATGTGCAAAGTCACAGAGCAGTGCAACAATAGCTTTTAGATTGCTCTGTAGTTGAACACTTTTTTTTTTTTGGTGAGGAAGATTGGTCCTAAGCTAACATCTGTTGTCCATCTTCCTCTTTTTGCTTGAGGAAGATTGTCCATGAGCTAACATCTGTGCCAGTCTTTCCTGTATTTTGTATGTGGGATGCCACCACAGCATGGCTTGATGAACGGTGCGTAGGTCCATGCCCAGGATCCGAACCCGTGAACTCTGCGCTGCCAAAGCTGAGTGCGTGAACTTAAGCACTCGGCCATGGAGCCAGCCCCTGTCGTGGAACACTGTTAACCACAAACACTCCAAGTGGTCATGGAGAATGACAGCACTGAACCAGCACGAGTGCTGGCTGCCTGTCTTTACAATCATCGTGTTCGAAATGTTTATGTCAAATCTATTCCTTTAACGCAGGAATAGGTGCTATGGGAGGAGCTGGACACTCAAACTGTGCCCTAAGTGAGCTCAGAAAATTCCAGAGATTTCAACTGACTCTGAGATGAAGGCCTAGGGCTGAGTCCACGTGTGATGGGGGCCAGATCTGTCACTGGGAGTTCTCTGAATAAACTCAGTTTCTAAAGGATACGTAATAAAAATGTACAAATTTGCAGCTTATATAAATATTATTAAAACACAACAGTAATTGTAGTAACTGTTGAGAACAGGAGCCAGCAAAGCCGTGGCTGGCAGGGCAAATCCAGCCGGCGGCCTGTTTTTGGATAGCCAGTGAGCTAAGAGTGATTTTTATATTTTAAATGGTTGGAAAAAAGTCAAAAGAAGAATAATATTACATGACGTGTGATTATGTGAAATTCAAGTTTCCGTGTCCATAAATAAAGTTAGAGCGGAACGTGGCCACGTTCTATTGTTTACATCTTGTCTGTGGCTGTTTTCGTGCAAGGCCAGCAGAATCCAGGAGTTGTGACAGAGACCATATGGCTCGAAATGCTAAAATATTTACTGTCTGGGCTTTCCCAGAAAGTCTGCCAGGCCCTGGTTTAGTGCTTAAACCAATCGAAGGCTCTCTCAGGGAGCACAATTAGATCACTGATGTTGCTTAGAATTGCTGACTCTTGGTGACACAAAGCAGACTGACTTTTACTGGGCTTTATTGTATTCCAATCTCTAAGGCCAGGCGCTCCCCCTGACTGCCCCCGCACCCGCCCCCGGGGCGGCCACTACTGCCCCTGCCATCGGGGAGCTTCTGCCTACAAGAAACCGCCTCTTTGTGCAAAATGCAACCGCCTGGTGTTACTGAAAATATACACACGAGGTTTGTGGGATATACACACGAGGTTTGTGGGCATGAGAAGCACGAGGGGGTTTAATCCTGCCCCATCCTGGGCTGCAGGGGGCAGAAACCTAACTTGAATGAGCTGAAGTTGGTCACTCGAGTCACCAGCCCACAGGAGGGTGGGGGCAGCTGGGCTCCGGGACTCTGTGCTCACGGAGCTGCTTCTCCTAGCATGCGGGCCTCGGGCTCTGACCCACTTCTCCCTAGGGACCACGCCGTAGGCACTGTCAGCAGCCAGGCGCAGCCCTCAGGCAGGCCAGGCTGGCAGGGGCTCCCTTCTCCTTGCTCCTGGCCTTGGAAAACGGCCAGGAAGAATCGGATTGGCAGGGAGGGTGGGCAGGAAGAGCTGGGAAAGGCGGTAGACCCTTGACACAAAAAAGGAGAACGTTCAGATGGCCTCTGAGTTCTTTGTAAGTCTGTCTAGGAAACATCCCCGTTTCTTTCTTTTCTATCCTACTGTTTTCCCGCTGTAGCCTCTCACGGTCCTTGGGGGTTTTTTCCTCCTTTGTTTTCCCCAAACTTCTCATCCACACCCACATCCCCCAACCATCCCCTCCCTTGGTCCTGGTCCCCCCACTCATTCAACAAGTGGGAACTGATGATGAAGTCCGAGAATACTGAGAGTGGGGACGGTCCATCATTGCTGTGTCACTGCCACCTGCCACACTGTGGGTGCTCAACAGGCATCCACGTGCCGGGAAGCTGGGCTGCTCACCTGAGAAAGGGAAAGAGTTGTCATAGGATTTTCGGGAAGGGTGGGTTTGAGTGAAGTTTAATTGAAGTAGTGTTTTTTTCTTTTTATTATTATTTTTTTTTGAGGAAGATTAGTCCTGAGCTAATATCTGCTGCCAATCCTCCTCTTTTTGCTGAGGAAGACTGGCCCTGAGCTAACATCCGTGCCCATCTTCCTCTACTTTCTATGTGGGACGCCTACCACAGCACGGTGTGCCAAGTGGTGCCATGTCCGCACCCCGGATCTGAACCGGTGAACCCCAGGCCGCCCAAGCGGAACATGTGCACTTAACTGCTGCACCACGGGGCCGGGCCCCTGAAGCAGTGTTTTGACAGGCTCAGGGCAAAGCAGGGCCATGTGCGAAGGGGCCAGCATTGGGTCCGAGCCGCAAAGCGGCCCCGGCCCCTGGTCCCTTGGGAACCACCAAGTCGAGACAGCTGTGGAATGTCGTGTCCAGAAGCCACGCATCTGGAGCTCTGCTGAGGTGCTGGACACCCAGGCTGCTTCTCTGCCGAAGTTGACAACTTCTCCGGGAGGGAGCGGGAAGTTTCATCTTACTGATAGAAGTTCAACAGCAAAGTTTCTATGAATCTATGACTTAGAGTTCAAAGTTCTTTTTTTTTTTTTTAAGATTTTATTTTTTTCCTTTTTCTCCCCAAAACTCCCCAGTACATAGTTGTATATTCTTCGTTGTGGGTCCTTCTGGTTGTGGCATGTGGGACGCTGCCTCAGCGTGGTTTGATGAGCAGTGCCATGTCCGCGCCCAGGATTCGAACCAACGAATCACTGGGCCGCCTGCAGCGCATCATGCGAACTTAACCACTCGGCCACGGGGCCAGCCCCTCAAAGTTATTTTTGAGTAAAATAATTATTACTCAGAGGAGCGGGTGGTGGGCTGGCCTGGTGGTATAGTGGTTAAGTTCGCACGCTCTGCTTTGGGAGCCCAGGGTTCACCGTTTCCTGAGCCTGGGCACAGACCTGTGCACCACTCGTCAAGCCATGCTGTGGGGGCATCCCACATAGAAGATGAACTGGAAGGACTTACAACTAGGATATACAAGTATGTGCTGGGGGCTTTGGGGAGGAAAAAAAAAGAGGAAGATTGGCAAAAGATGTTAGCTCAGAGCCAATCTTCCTCACCAAAAAAACCCCCAAAAAACTGGGGGAGTTGTTACCACACTTTATAGCTGCAGCCGCGTGTCCTTGAGAAACTCTGCACCTCGTGAACTTTGCAGCTGGTTTTATCTGTGTCTGTCATTCTGGCCTGGTGAATGGCCTGGCTGCTCCTGTGACAGTCTCTTCAGGCTGGGGGACAGGACAGGTACTTGCGTGGTAAGTGCTCCATTGGCTCTGGTGGGGGGATGGCCTGAAGGAGGGAAAGAGGCCAGGAAGGAGGCCGGTACTGGCCTGGACCAGGCATCCTGGGGACACGGAGGGACACAGGTGGATGCAGGACATATCTTGGAGGTAAAACAGATTTAGTGAGCAATCAAACACGGGGAGAGAGGGAGGAGGCAGCGTCCAGGATGCCTCCAGGTGGCTGGCTCAGGCCTGGAAGGTGGTGGCCCGCACCGAGGAAGGGAGCAAACAGGAGAAGCAGTTTGGGAGTGAAGGGGTTGAGCTTGGGTTTGGCTGGGCGTGAGTTTGGTGTGAGCAAGTGTCCACACAGCTCAGGGTGCAGGCTAGACCAGCTGGACATGCAGGTTTGGGGGCCGGCACCATGGACCGGTGGGAATCGAAGTCAAGAGAAGAGATGTCACAAGGAAGGATGTCATCTCAGGGAGGATGTGCAGGGTAAAAAAGGAGAGGAGCAGCGTGAGGAGCTCCAGGAGGGCAGAAGGCAGCAGAGACTGGGCGAAAACTCCTCGGGGAGAGGGGGAGAAAGACTGGGAAGGGGCGACCTCGGAGCCCAGGAGGAGAGCTCTGAGGAGGAGGCGGGCGTGCCAGCTGGGAACCACTGCGCCCAGGGACCGGCAGTGCCCCTGCGCCAGGGCTCAGGGCTTTGGGGGGTGAATGCAAGGTGAATCGATGGGGACGACAGTCTTGAAACATTTTGGAGGGAAGGGAGGTGGGTACCAGCTGACGAGGCCGTGGGGGTCAAGGAGAGTTTACTGATCAAGACTGGAGAGGCTTGAGTGCGTGCAACTGCTCCTGGGAAGGGCAGGAGTTAGAGACCCAGGCGGAGGGCTCCGTTCCCGGGGGCAGGGAGGGGTGGCTACCGAGGGAGGCAGCAGGTGGGGGCAGGGCCGAGGCCGGGCTTTCTTTGAGGTGGGAGAGGCTGAGGCCTGGGCGGAGGCTGGGTTACCCGCCTCTCTTTTCTCTGTGTCTCCATGTGGGCCGACTCTCCTCTGTCCGAGCTACTCCCCTGTTCCAGCTACACCCTAGCTGCTCCCACAGCCCAGCTACGCGCTTCCACCCCAGCCCAGACACAGCCTCCCTCCCCAGGCGCTCCTCCCCCGAATCACCAGCCACTCTTTTGCAGCTCCTCCCCAGCGGCGAAGCTGAATCCCATCCTCCCAGCTGCTCCTCCGGGCTCTCAGCAGCCCGCGGGCCACGCCTACATCCCCGCCCACGGCCCCGCCCACATCTTCGCCCACGGCCCGCCCTCACCCTCCAGCGCCGGCCCCCTCCCCATGACCTGCATTGCCATTGGCCGACTCCTTTCTAGGGCTCCGCCCCCTCCCCCTCTACTTCTGCGATTGGGTCAGATGGCTGCCCGTCAGCGCTGTCGCCAGGCAATGGGGCCGGCGCTCCAGAGGAAAATCCGTGGGTGGCCTGACCGGAAGTGGGTCGGGTCGGTGCTGAGGCCGAGAGTCCAGGTGAGCCGAGGGGAGGCGCTGGCGGGCGGTTGACGGGAGCCTCGGGCTGGCGTAGGGATCAAGGTTGATGGCCCTGGTCCCGGGAGCACACGGTGCCGGAGTGGGCCTGGGCCTGTCTCTCCGTGGCTGGCTACGCCGCGGGCCGGGGGTGGGGGAGGTGGGGGGACAGCTGCCAAGGAGAGAGGGTCTCTCTGTGGTGAGTCGGAGCACAAAAGCACCCCACACCTTCTCCCTTTTTGTGGTGGAAATAAGAGGGTCCCGGCAGGTGGTCACCCCAGGGCTGAGCCAGCCGTCCGGACTGGAGAGCGAGAGAGCCAGTGTAGACGATAGAGCTGGTATAGATGCGGAAAGGACACGGGAGCATCTGCGGGAGGAGCGTCAGGGGGTTATACTGGAGTGCGTTTCGGGGGGGTGGGGTGGGGAGTCCTTCCCTTTTGTATTGTGACTACAACCTACTAGCTTTGTCCCAGGAGAGTCGAGTGATAGCTAAATTCAGGGCAGAGGGCAGAGGAGAAGAAAGCAGAAAGGCACCCAGACTATACCACCCCTGCAGATCAGCCAGTGGGCCCCCTGGAGGAGGGAAGCCAGCCGTGGGCAGGAGCAGGACAGGTCACCTTCCAGCCAGTAGGGACTCCGCAGAGTGAAGGCTGGCCCCGGCTCAAGCTGGCCCTTTGCAGAAGAGCTGCTGGTTCTGGGACATAAACAGGGCGTCAAGTGCCTCTGTCTAGAAGGGGCCGTTGCAGTCTGCCCAGAAAGGGGATACTGAGGGCCGGGTCACCACTCTCAGGACAGTGGCCCCTTGGAGGTGGTGGGTTGGAGGTTGGCAGGCCAGGGCAGAGAGCATCCTCAGGACAGGAGCCAGTCAGAGAGGCTCTGAGAAAGAGTTGACTGAACTATCCTAGGACACCAGCAGGAACTGCGGGCCCCATTCTGCAGAAAAACGGCTCCTGGCTCCCTCCCCAGCCCTGAGGGAGTTCCTTCCTTTCAGGCCCGGCTGTTCCCCTTGTTCCAAGGCAAGAACACAACCTTTAGTTGTCTCGGCGCCATCTGACTCCATCTTTGGCCTCCAGAAAGCAGAATTAAATACCCTATGTTCCCACCTTTAATCCTTTCCACCTCATTATGCAGCTGGTGGTATTCCCCCATTTTACTAAGGGTCAAAAAGCCTTGGTAACCTGCCCACAGACATAAAACCAACCGGCATCAGAACTCGAACTCAGATCTTCCCATCTTGGCTAATGCCATGACCTCAGAGCCTGGGGCCCCTGTGATTGGAGGCAAGCATTCTGGGCATCAGCAGGCTTCAGTGTGGCCCCTCCCACTCTGCCCACTGGCCCGCATCCTTGGAAGCCAGAGGTTCTCACCCTCAGCCCTACTGACATTGGAGGCCAGGCAGTTTTTTGTTGTGGGGGCTGTCCTGTGCATTGTAGGATATTTAGCAGCACCCCTGGTATCAACCCACGAGATGCCGGCAGCACCCCCCTCCCCAGTTGCGACAACTAGACCTCATAGCCAAATGTCCCCTGGGGGACAAAACTGCCCCAGTTGAGGAGCACCGGTGTCAGCAGTCTCAAAGTAGCATTGAGGTACGTCCTGCTGAATGAGGATCTGGCGTGTGTCAACCTGCGGAAGACTCAGGCCGGCCTAGGGTGGTTTTCTGCTCAACTTGCTGGGAAAAAGGCTGTCCCAGGTAGCAAGGTGCACCCAGGACAGTCCCGTGAGAAAACTATTGCCAGGAACTGAAAGAAAGTTCAGGAACTTGCATTTGGGGAGAAGTAAGGACACATCGAGGGCCTCATTCCTCCCCAACGTTGATAGAAAAGATTTCCGGGGTGATTAAAGCGATGGAGGCTAGGACCATGTGCCTGGGGACACTTTGTTCCACGGCCATTACTTCATCTTAAAAGGCGATGGGGTTGTCCTTGGAGCTGTTTGAGTGCATCCCTTCACCAGCATGGTGGGGCGGGGCGGGGGGCAGGGGCGTGATTGCAGAGGCTGCCTGACCTCCCCCCTCTCGGGGACTCCAGGCCCATGGCTCTTGCTTGCGGCTGCTCCACACCCTTCTCCCTCCTACTTGAAAACCTGGTGTTGCCAGCGTGCCCTGCTCCCAGCCTTTCCTGGTGTGTCCCCCTGGCGCTGCCCTGTGCCCACCCGCGTGCTCATGGGCTGCACCTCTGCTATGCGCCTCTGCCCTCCTCTGCTGCCTGTTGGCGCCCTGCCCAGCCCCTTTCCTTCCTGCCAGCCGTGGAGGTCTGGCCAGGCTGCTCCATCCTGCTCTGTTTTCAGACAACAGTGGAGGAACCTGTTTCTGGTGGGGTGGAGGAGGACGTTGGGTGGGCTGGAGGTGAGGGGCTGGGCGGAGGCAGGCGAGGGACCCCTTGCTCGCTAGCCCCTCTGGTACCCTTTGCCACACCAGACCTCGCCTCAATCTTAGTTTCACCCCTGCACCTTTGTGCACACTGTCCCCACTTCCCGGGTCAGCCACTGTGGGTGCCTGAAGACCCAGCCGGCTGTGTCCTTCGGGACATTTTCCCTTCTTGACTCCTGTGTTCTCACCCCCTTCCCACTGATCCCCGCGTCCCTTGTCTGTCCCTCCCTGGTGGACGGGACACTCCTGCAGGCCTGGGCCCCTCTGGGGCTTCCCTGTGTCTGTCCGCTCTCCCTGACGGGGCCTGGCCCAGGAGACGCTGAGTTATTTATTGAAGGAGTGAATGCGTGTGCTGACGTCAGGAAGGCACGAGTCCTGGAGGAGGTGGGACCCGTGACCTCTTGGTGGCATATCCTTGGGTCTCTGATTCCTCAATCACAGAACATTTGGAAACTTCTGAGGAGTGGCATTTAAATGTTGGTGGCCTTTTAGCCCCAGACGCCCCCCTTAAAGAGGCTGGTGTCCCCGATGGAGCAGTTCCTTGATTTTGAGCAGGGAGAAGCTTTCTCTGGATTTTGGGACTTTGAGGTACAGCATTTAAATGGCATCCCCGTTAAAGAGAGGCCGGAGGTGGCATCGGCCTGAGATCCCGTCCTTGCTCTTGGCTTTCCCTGATGGCTTCTGAGCTTGTTCTCAAAGTGGGGGTGGCTCAGCAAAGCGCTTCCCTGTTTGTGCTGAGTCCCTGCCATGCCCAGGCCTGGTGGGCTGTGGGATACCGAGGTGAGGGCGTCCTGGAGCCTGTCCTTGGGCAGGGGACAGGTTGTAGGTGATAGAGCAAGCAGCACTGATCCAGGGGGCCCCTGAGGCTGCCGGGGGCCGGGAGTGAGCCCTGTGGGAGCCAGTTGGGGGCCTCGGGCTTTCTGAGGACCTGGGCCAGGCCAGCCTCCTGGGAGTTGTGCATGGGAGCCCACGAGGTGGCAAGGGAAGGGACCAGTCCACCTGAGAGGTCACCAAGGAATGACACAGCCATCGGACATGCGCGTCCTAGCGCCTGCACGCGCCAGCCTGGCTCAGGGGCTGGGCAGGTGGCCCTGGGGCAGAGTCTCTTTTGTGACTTTCAGATTGTAGCAGGCGACTTGGGCATGGACTAAGGCAGGGAGCGTGGCTCGAGCAGAGTGAGCAAGGGGGGCCTTGCTCCGTGTCTATTAAGGCAACAGTCAGGAATAGGAAGGACCTAGTCAGCAGACTAGGAAACTCCAGAATGCCGGGTAGTCTTGGAGCCCAAAGGCTGAGTAGGACGGTGAGGTGTGCAAGGTCGAGGGTGTGCAGGGCCACAGTGAGGGCCCTTTGAGCCAGATGGGGAGCAGAAAGGAGCCGCTCAGAGGGACTCGAGTCTGATGCCCTGAGTGGACCACACGCATCTGTGAGGCTGGCCTTGGAAAGTGGGGTGGGCACGGCCTTCAGCCGGCCTCCAGGGTCCAGCTCTGGTGTGAAGCTGTGCTAACGTCTCAAAAACCTTTCCCTCCTAGGTGTTGGAAAGACTTTCATCTCCTCCAGCCATGTAGGTAAGTCACGGGCCTTCTCATGTCACAAACCTGCAGGTTTTCCAGAAGTGAGAGAGTGATGGTCTTTGCTATGAAGACCCTGTCTAAGAAGGAAATAGAAATCACTGGAGTGCACGTTTATACATTAACCATTTTCAGGATCTCAGCTGAATAACAACATAGGGGCACAAGGAGAGTGGTGTGACAGATTTTTTGGTGACTTGATAAATTAACAACAGATTTTGAGAAAGTCTTGAATTTTCCTGGTGAGGGAAAAATACAAACCTAAAACTACTTTGGCTAAGGCTGTCCTGATTTAATATCTGTAATGTTTATAAAGCTGTGACCGCTGCAGGTTTCCAGATGGCGTGCAATGTTAATACTAGAGAGGTTCTCTTTGTGTTTGTCACCTGGTAGCTGTCCCGCACACCACGGGCTTAGGGGCCGTCCTGCTGAACACAGACACCTTCCTGGAGCAGCAGCATCGTTGAGGGCACCAGCAAAAGGAAGGGCCGTGTCCTTCCTGATCTTAACTTTAGCCCCGCTCGGTTCCTCTGAGCATCGTCAATAAAAATGATTAAGATACCCAGGCACTGAATTGCACCCAACCCAGACTGAACCCTGCCTTCTCGGAGTCTTCCAAGAAGACAGCCCCGACCTCAGACCAAGCCCCACTCCCACGCTCTTACCGAGACCCCCACACTCGCTGCACGGCCCCCCCACCCACGTGCTCCTGCTCTTTAGCTGGCGGGCGTGGACGTGTGGTCTGTTGTGATCTCTCCGGGGTTCCCACCGTGGGCTCTGCTGAACTCACTGCGGAGGCGGTGATGTTAGGGATATTAGTCCCTTTGCTTTCACCCTCCCCCCTCTTCTCCAGAACCAGCGGATATTTACAAATCCAGCGACAGTGGCTCCTCTCCTGATCAAGTCCTAAACGGTCAGCTTGTTTCTCGCGGCCCTTAGAAGAGCTGGTGAAGAGGATGGGTCTGTCTGCCTTGGCATGGCTGCTTGGGCTGTGCCCCTGGAGGGGACCAGGCACCAGCTGGTGCCGCCCCCTGTGTCTTAGAGATGAGGAAGGCCTCGTGCAGGCTGGACCTTGAGCTCAGGGCTGGCGGTTTTCCTTCTGGGTTCTTACGCCGCTGAGAAACTTGAGGAGTGGAAGCATGAGGCCAGAGAGCCCGTGAGCAGCAGCCCCATGCCAGGCTGCAGAAGCCCTTGCTTGCAGCCTGCCTCTGTGAGGAGCCCCCTGCCGGAGGCTTCCTGTCCCGGGCAGACGGTCCCCGTGCCAGGATGGCTGTGCTAAAAAGACGGAAGAGTAGCAGGAGTGTTGGAGAGGAGATGGAGAAATTGGAAGCCTTGTGCTTGGCTGCTGTGAATGGAAAATGGAAAACAGCTTGGCAGTTCCTCAAAAAGTTAAATATCAGATTACCGTATGACCAGCCATTCCACTGCTAGGCATATACCCCCAAATTTGAAAGCAGGGGCTCAAACAACTCCATGTGCACACACATGCTCACGGCAGCACTGGTCACAACACCCAAAAGGTGGAAACAGCCTGGATGTCCATCAACAGATGGCGGGGTAAACCAGATGTGGCATCCCCATGCACTGGAATAGTATTCAGCCATGAAAAGGAATGACGTCCTGACACAGGCTGCCATGTGGATGAACCCTGAAAACATTCTGCCAGGTGAAAGGAGCCAGACACGAAAGACCACGTGCGTGCAACGCCATTTATATGAAATGTCCAGAGTAGATAAATCCGCACAGACAGACAGCACGTTAGTGGTTACCGGGGACTGGGGGGAGGGGGAGTGGGGAGTGGCTGCTAACGGGTCTGGGGCTTCTTTTTGGCTCATGAAACGTTGTGGGACTAGATGGGGGGTGGTTGCACAACATGGCGAATGTACTAAATGCCACTGAATTGTACACATGAAAATGGATAATTTTATGTCTGTGATTCTCACTGCAGTAAAAAGAAAGACAAGAAAGATCTCGATTGTACCCCATTTCCCCTTGAGGTCTTGATCAGCCAGCTCTTGCTGGGCCTTTTTCCAAGCTCCCTGCTGCAGCTGGGAGGGCCTGTCCCCCCCCCCCCCGACACCCCACCCTGAGGACCTGGCGGGAGACTGTTTACTGTTGCACCAACGGAGTTGATTGAGGAGAAGTGGGGGAAGGTGCTGTGTCTCCAGCAGTTCGCTGACGGGAGTTTCCAGGTGAAGGCTCAGGACAGAGTTAAGAAGTCACAGCATTTTGCTTCTTGAGAGATTTTTTCATCTGACTGTGTTTTTCTGTTTGGATCTCCAGATCTCTTGGCCCTTGACCCCTTCCTGTAATGAGGTCTGTGACAATGAACAGAGGTCACCCGCGTTTGGGCGCCATTCTCTGCTGGGATCTCGAGTGATAATTAACTCATTGACTTAACAGTCTCTGGGGTAGGGCCGTGATTATTCCCGTTTTACAAATGAGGAGATCGAGGCACAGAGAGGTTCGGTCGCTTGCCTAAGACCACACAGCTAGGAGGAGGTGGAACCAGGATCACGGAGGAAGAGCTTGTCAAATAGCATGTTGGCTTTGTAGGTGACATTTTCAAGGTGTTGATTTTATTCAAATATATGTGATCATCAGCCTTACAGATTTTTTTCAACTCAGGTTTTTAAAAAATGAACATTTAGATTAAAACACTGATCTTCTTCTACTTTTTACTTACATTAGCTTGGGAACTGTGTTTTCAAATGAAATCCAGACTTCTTTGCTCCTGGAGGCCGTGGGAATCAGGATTGGCTTTTCCCACTCCATCTGTCTCAACTATCCGTTTCTACCACACTGAAACAATGTTATGTGGCTCTGATGCATTTAAGCCGCATTTTGCAGCGAAATCAGTATTTATTAACTTGACCATGTAATTATGAACATTTATGTTGTGTGATTACTACATTTTGGTTTTTCTCTCTGACTTGATATCTTTTCCTTCTGCAGAGGATTCTGCCAGATAGAAGGGAAGATGGGGAATGCCAAAAGCCGCTCAGGGCAGAACGCGTGTTCACAGTTTCTTCCTGAGGAGCGGGCAGAGATCGATCGACTGTTTGATGCTCTGTCCTCGGGCAAACACAGCTCCAATACCCCGCACAGATCCTTCTCTCTGCAGGCCCTCCAGGCAAGAGTAACAGTCAGCAGTTAATGTCTAGTCTAGAGCGAGGGTCTGCAGCCTGTGGGCCCCGGGCCAAAGTCGGCTGTCCGTGTTTTGAGACGGGTCTATGGGAATGCTATGAGGTTTGTTTCTGTAAAGGGCTGGATAGCATGGATCTCAGCTTTGTGGGCCACATCCTCTCTGTTGCCTTTGTAGCATCATGTTTTGGGGACGTTTTTAACTTGAGTTTGACCAAAGGGGCCAGCCCTGCTGCCCACCTCTCGAAACACTGTCCCCTGATTTGCCTCCGAGACCAGGGGACAGACTGCCTGAGTGGGGTTTGTAGGTCCAGTAACCACAAAGTTTCAAGTATGCCTTTGCTTTGAGAATTTGTAAGTGTTTGATGTTGTAGGAATTTTATGGTCCTCCTAATGAAAGGACAAAGTTTCAGATTCGGGGTTCACCTGATGAGAAGTCAAAACCGCCCATCTCCCCATCTTTTTGCCCCCTTCCTGGGGCTTTTAACTGTGTGTTTGAGTGCTCAGGCTGAGGCAGGACGCTGGTGAAGAGACATCAGCCCATCTTCCCGGGAGGTGGGGAGGGCGTGTAGTGTGTGAAGACGTTCCAGCGGCCTCCTCTTCTAGAACATTCAGAATGGGAGCTGGTTGGGGCACTGGGGATCCCCCCGTGTGCTCACTTGGCAGATGAGGAAGCTGGCCAGGGAGGCTGGCCGGGTCCCAGCTGTGGTGTGTACACGTGTGCACCTGTGTGCATCTCCGCCAGCCCCAGAGGACCCAAGGCTGCCAGGTCACCCTCTGAGCTGGAGCAGCCAGAACCAGACGGGCCAGTGAAGGACCTGCCTGCAGAGCGGGTGACTACATTCATGTGGGTTATCAAGATAAACATGGTTAAAAGTCGATCAGAAAACCTTGGCGACTGAATCAAGTTTCCTTTGGGAAGGAATCAGAGGTTGCTTTTCCAGTGGGACTTTGAAAACACCAACAGAGACAGGAATCCTCTTTTTGAGCAGTGAGGGCGAGAACCGGCTTTACAAGCACTTGCCGCATGTCGATGTTGTCACAAATGGTGCAGACGCAGTGCATGCTTATAGGAGGATCTGGTCCTCAGACTCTGCTAGGAAGGAAATTCGCGATTTCATTCTTGATTTGCTTTCTCTCCCCATTTATTTGTAATCTCTGGACCAAATCAGATTTGATGTTGGTGTCAAAAAGGAGAACGACATTTACAGAGTGTCATAGGCAAGACATGAATTGAGAATTAGATTGAAAATTTAAATAAAAGTTAATGAAAAATGCATACTGAGCACAAAGAACTCGGATAAGAAGTGAAAGCTAGTTCATATATTTGGAAGTGCCTAATATAGAGGAGACCAGATGAGCTCCACACAGACGTATGGTCCTTGCGGATAAATTCCAACACGCAAATGGCAGCTGTTAGAGTCTAGAATGAAGAAGTTGTAAGCAGAGTGAAGAGCAGACAGTGGCCAGAGGCAGGAAGGACGCGGCCAATCTGGGGAAGCTAGAAAGTTTGGAGGACAGGATGGGAAAAGACTGTGGATGAGTCTGATGTCCAAGATGAGCCACCAGCCGGGACGTGTTAGGTGTGTGGGTCCTTGAGTGATGCGATGCCCTTGGGTGGGGGAGAGATGGCACACCTGGGGCCCAGGAAGGTTACGTTCTGGTGGAAACAGCAGTGGTTGGTCTTGGTCCCCTAGTTATTTTTCCCTGATCCTACCACGTTTAACTCATACCCTGTCCAGCCTTTTCTCCTGCTTGTCCCCAACAGAGCCACATTGGGGAAGCTCTCCCCCCAGAGATGGTCACCAGACTGTATGACGGGATGCAGAGGGTCAACCTGACAGGGACAGCGAAGGGGCCCAGCGAGGGTGTCTCCCAGGAGCAGTTCACAGTGTCGATGTCCCACCTCTTAAAAGGAAACTCCGAGGAGAAGAGTCTCATTATCCTGAAAATGATTTCTGCTACGGAAGGTCCTGTGAAAGCAAGAGAAGTCCTAAAGGTAGCAGGGCCAGGAGGCCCTCGGCAGCCGTCCCATGCAGTCTTGGTGTCCTTAGGGTGGGGGACTTGGGAGGATCAGGCAGCTGGTGGAGGCCTCATGGAAATGTCCACCCGTGGGGAACCTGCGATCTCTGGGTGAGGTCAGAACTCCTGGGCAAAGGCCTTGGGAAAACTTCTAGGCCAGCCCAGAGCGTCATTAGAAAAATGAAGACGTACCTAAGTTATGTGATCTTTTCCCACACTGCAGTCCACGTGGTTGGCATTAAAGAGAGAAAACGCCCTTCCCCGTGTTGATATGACATAGGCCGTGGGTCACGGTGGAAATGTTACTAACGGTAAAATTGTGATGTCCAAGTTTACAGAGGATCTGGTTGGCTCTGTTGTGCATGTGCTAGACCACAGACAGCAGCTGAGGGGCTGGACTCAGAAGAAAGCCCCCGGCTGCCCGCCCAGGGTGCAGGTGCTGGCGGCTCAGCTCTTCTCCGAGATGAAGCTTCAAGGCAAGTGCCCTGTGTGGGCTCGCACGCTGAGACCGTGGCTGTGCGGAGTGGTACCCCGCCGTCGCGATGACTGTAGTCTTGGAGTAACGTTTCGTAATCAGGAAGTGCGAGTCCTCCAGTTTGTTCTGCGTTCTCTGATTGGTTGGCAGACAATTCATAGTATTTCCTCATCATCCTTATTCCGCGAGGTCGGTGGTGACGTCCCCACTTTCATTTCTGACTTTAGTGACTTGAGTCTTCTCTCTTCTTTTCTTGGTCAGTCTGGCTAAAGGTTTGTCCATTTTTTTGTTGATTTTTTTCGAAGAGCATATCCACCGTATTTGTGGATTTTCTCTGTTCTCTGTCTAGTTTCTATTTCATTTCTCTTTGCTTCTAAGTCTTTTATTTCCTTCCTTCTGCTTGCTTTCGATTTAGTTTGGTCTTCTTTTTCTAGTTTCTTAAGGTAGAAGGTGTGGCTATTGATTTGAGATCACTCTTCTTTTTTAATACAGGCGTTTATGGCTATAAATTTCCCTCTAAGCTCCGCTTTAGCTGAATCTCCTAAGTTTTGATATGTTGTGTTTTTGTTTTCGTCCATCCCAGTGTTTTCTAACCTCCCTTATGCCCTCTTCTTTGGTCTGTTGGTTATTTAGGAGTGTGTGATTTAATTTCTCCGTGTTTGTGAATTTCTCAAATTGCCTTCTGTTGTTAATTTGTAATTTCATTCCAGGTGATTGAAGAACATACTTAGTATGGTTTAAATTCTTTTAAATTTATGGAGGCATATTTTATGGCCTAACGTGGTCTATCCTGGAGAATGTTCCACGTGCACTTGAGGAGAATGTGTATCCTGCTATTGTTGGATGAGAAATAGTATATATTTAAATTTGATTAGAAAATACCTTGAGATTTAAAAATACCTTGTGGTGAATCTCTTTGCAAAATAGACTTGTTTTATAAAAGCATTACTGTTTTATTATCAAGCTGGATTTTTAAATGCAGTTTGAAAATAGGTCATATTTCAAAAGTTAAGTCGTGTTTAGAACTTGGAAAGAAGAACTACATAATATTATCTATTATTATATATATGTGTATATATAAATATAAATAAAATACCAGCAGTTTGTCTTCTGGTATAGATACCACGTCATCTCTATTCTTATTCAGTAGAGACAGAAAGGAGGACTAGTGATGTTGCTATGAAACAAGTAAGCATCATTCATAGTTAATGAAACCCACTCTTCCCAGATGAACTAGAAGGATGCCCAGTAAATTAGAACAGCACGCGTCCACATGCTTTCCAAATGACTCTGGGGGTGGGGGGCGGAAGCCCTCGACAAGTGGCTTTTGGGGTCGTTTTGTCCGGAACAGTTGGTGAGGAGTCGCGGGGCTGGGCGTGAAGGCATGGCTGTCTCGGGAGGCCTCTGAAATGCAGCTTGGAGAGGAGAGAAAAGATAAGAGTGTTGACGTTAAGTTTTCAGATCAGTGCTGTTCCTCGAAGATATAATGCAAGCACTAAGGCAGGCCACACGTGAAACTTTCAATATTCTAGTAGCCGCATGAAAATAGTAAAAAGAAACAAGTGAAGTTAATTTTAACATGTCCAAAATATAATTTAATATTGGTAATCATATGAAAAATGATCGAGACTTTTTAACATTTTTTTTCACACCAAGTCTTTGAAATCGGTGTGTGTTGTGCATACCGCACATCTCGGTTCAGACGAGCCACACGTCAAGTGCTCAAAAGCTGCACATGGCTCCCGTGTGGGACAGCCCAGGTTTAGCTAGGAGATACAAGTGATGTCGTCGCCCCACTAACCCTGTTCTCCCCTCCCTTAGAGGGTGAGAAGCTTCTGGGGCCTCAGCAGCTGGACTGTGACTGTGACCGAGCCATGATCGAGGACTGGGTGTTCAGGACCCCCCACGTGGCCATGTTTCTGAGCGTGGTCATCCACAGAGGCTTTCTCCTCCTGTGCTCATCCCTCAACCTGTCCGCCCTGCTCCCCGAGCGTCTAGTCGACCAGGGGCGGGAGTTCGAGAGCATCCTGGACGTGCTGTCCGTCATCTACCTCAACTCCCACCTGCCCAGGGAGCAGCGGCACCGCTGGCACCTGCTCTTCTCGTCCGAGCTCCACGGGCACAGCTTCGCCCAGCTCTGCGGACTCATCACCCAGCGGGGGCCCTGTGTGATGCTCCTCGAGGACCACGACGGCCACGTGTTCGGTGGGTTTGCCTCCTGCTCCTGGGAGGTCAAGCCTCAGTTTCAAGGTAAGACTTTGACCAGGACCGTGAGTGGTAGAGGCCACTGTGAGCACCGACAAAGGATGTGAGCGTTTCTTCCATCTTCTCTAAGTGGTTTTTCTGGGTGCTGTCGGGAGGGTTTTAAAAGGTGATGCTGCTTTATGGTGGTTTAACACTTTGTGGGTATCTCTTTTGATTCTGGAAAGAGGAGGATAAGCAGGACAGGCACCCTTACCCCGGATTTCAGGGGAGGAAACTGGTGTAGGATCATTGCACGGTGTCTGGTCCCGGCCGTGGGAGAGACTGGGATGCCTCAGAAGGGACCGGGGGATGCTGACTCTGTCAGATGGGATGTCTTCTCTCCAGGACCCGCTGCCTTTCCTGGAAGCCGCCCCCCGCCCCGCCCCGTCTGTCTGCTTTGCCGCTTCTGCCCTTCTCGTCTGTAGTTTTCAGTTTTGTGAGTTTGTTGGAATTTGGAAGTTCTCTGTGAGCCTTCAGTGCCCTGGCTGAAAGGCTCTGAGTGCACTCTTCCCCATCCTCAAAGGAAAATATTCTGGAAAACATTTTTAAAGGACCACTTTTGAAAACGCTCCTTTCTAGGCCAGTGGGCTGTTCTTGTACTCAGAGGTGAACCTGCCTTCCCAGGACTTGGTGTCACTGCATGTCCCCCGGGTGCATGGCCCCGGCTGCCTGAGGCTGTGTTCTCAGTGGGTCTCCTTGGGGGCCAGCAGCTGTCAAAATGGACGGCTTTGCCTAGTGGTTCTGGGAGCCCAGATTCCAGCTGCCCTCACTCCCGTGAGCTAAGTGGAGCGGCCTGGCCTTAGGAATTCCAGAAGATGCCGCTCTTCTCTCTCCTTCACCTGTTTGCACTGCTAGCTCCTTGTCGGGACTCGGTCCAGGGTCACCTCCTCCAGGAAGCCTTCCCAACCACACAGAAAGGGCTGGGTGCTCCCTGTGTATCCTCTGTCGTACTGCCTGCCCCTGGAATTGTTCCTGTCTTCTCCCTACCAGGAGAGCTTCTGCCGGCCGGGGAGCTGTGTCCAGGAGCAGAGCTGCCATTTCTAGAGAGGGTCTGGCCAGCAGTGGGGCAGCCGTTTGCCTGGGACAGGCGGAAGGAATTGTGAGATGAAGGGTTGGGTACCTCTGTCCCTGAGAGCCCCTTTCTTTTAGGATTTGGTTTTCTCTAGGTTTTAGAATGTTCTAGATCTTTAATCCAGTTGCTGCTACCAGCCCTTCCCCAGTATGTCAGAGGTCCCCAAGACCCCCTAGGAGGACTCACAGGACTCTGCCTATGGTCAGTACATCCTCACGGTCACGATTTCTCACAGTGAGAGGATGCAGAGCGAGATCAGCAAAGGGCACAGGCACGTGGGGTGAAGCCCACGGGAAACCAGACGCCCGCTCCAGGCTCTTCTCCCAGGGGAGTCACACAGGACACACTTAATTCCCCCAGCAAGACCTGTGAAATGCTGTCTGCCAGGGACACATTAGGGACCCAGAGCCCAGGGACCTACGGGGGGGACATGAGCACCCTTTGCCGATATGTACCCCAATCCCAGACCCCAGGAGGAGAGCAGGTGTTCAGCACCAGCCACGCTGTTTGCACAGTTTAGGCCCCGGGAGCCCCTCCTCTCAGTTCTGGGGGTGGTGGGGACCCTTCCTAAGTCCACGTGCGCAGACGCCAGCTGAGGGCCGGCCTTGGAAGCAGGGCTTTGGGGCCGGCCGGCTCAGGCCTGCTGTGTGAGCTCCTCTGCGCACCCACCTTCCCGTCACAGGTCGTGGGAATGGGGCGTCCTCCCCCTGCTCCATCTGTGGGCTGTGGGGGGCGAACGAGCTGCTGTCCCTGCACCGTTGGGGGCTCTGCTGTAGGAGAGGGAAGAAACCCTGAGAATCATTATCAGAGGAACCTCCTTCTCTTCCAGCGCCTTTAATCTTAATGCCAGGCTGGCACTGCTGCGTCTTAATGTTTTATTAACAAGCAGAATCAATCTTCCTGGACACAGTGGAGAAATCAATTACCCGGTTTCCGAACATGAGTCCTTTCCGTTCTGACGTGTGAGGCTGGGTTCCAGCAGAGGGCAGCCTTGCAGCGCTGAGCCAGGTGGAGGTCGGCGAGCCTTCTTGTCGCTTTGTCCTGCAGACAGCCCTGATATTTGAGACAGGAAGTGATAGCAGTGGGACGGGACTTCATTTTCCCTCACCTTCTCTGTGGTGCAGTTGACGGGCCCACGGCCTTGGACTGAGCACACAGCCTCGCGAGTCCCAGCGCCAGCCCTGGGCAGCGTGCTTCCTTTCTCGCGGCCTCGGTTCCCCAGAACCGTGTGGGATGGGGCTGTGTGTGAACGCCGCCTGCCTGGCTCTCGAATGTCCTTGCTGTGAGTTAGGTGCGCCCTCTCTGTGGGCTCGGCTCTTCTGCAGGTGATGCCGACCCCTCGGGCCCTTGCCGCTGCACCCTGGAGAGCAAGCATCCCCCGACGCGGCCCTCCCCGCTGGGAGCGGACCCCAGGGTCCACTGGAATGGGGTCCATTGCAGCCGACGGGCCTACGCTCTGTGACCCCAGCACCTCGCTTAGCATCCGGGGCCCCAGAAACGTTGGTTGAAGGACAGCCTTAGGATTGCAAAGCAAAGTGGTGCTTGTGCCCAGCACCCGGGGCCCAGGGTGGGACCAGGCAGGTCATTGCATCTGAAAGTGCCCCTGGCCTTCTGGGGCCACCCAAGCCCGTGGGGTCAAGCCTGAGTTGTTAGCCTGGAGTAGAGCCCTCTGTCGTCCAGCTCCAGGTGACCTCTCCAGGCTCATTTCCCTTCTTCCCCGGTCCCAGGGCTCACAAACCCTGTGGTTCAGCCCAGGGGCCCTGCTGTCCCCGTCCCTGCGTGGAGTAGCCGTCTCCATCTCAGGATGTCCTTTCTGACCTCAGAGGCGCTAATTTTTGGCCTCCAGAAGCCCCTTGACCACCCTGACCGCAGAGGCCCCCGTGGATCTGTCTGAATTGGAGGCCCCAGTGTCGCTTGCCCGACTCTGCTGGGCCCTTTCTGCTTCCAAGGGCTGTCCTCCCCCTGAGGCCCCTCTGGGGCTCGCATCCCCCTTCGTGTCCCCACAGTCAGGCTCCCGGCCCGCTTCCCAGGACCTTCCTTCCCACCTCACAAATGGCCCGACCCCAAAGTGCCGTGAGCTCGGCCCCGTGTCGGCTTGTGTGACATCAGGTGCCCTTCGCAGCGTTGCTGTGGAGGGGCAGTCCTTTGGGCCAAGTGCTCACCACTGTGGGAGCATCCCTGTCTGGCTCCTGCCTGGCTGGACGCTCGAGGGGCACGAGGCACGGCCGCCGTCCCTCTCCTGCACGAACGGAGGAGGTAAGGTGGGAAGGCGTCTATGAGACGGGGGTGCCGGCGTCTCCGGAGTTTCCACGGGTGCCTTCTTTCAGTGGCACGTCTGCCCACACCTGTGCCCTTGGACGAAGGTAGACAGTCCCCTGTCACCGTGTGTCCCTCCCACCAGCTCGTGCCCTGTGGGCGGCAGTGTGTCTGCAGGCTCTCTGCCCCCCGGATGATGCTTGCTTTTAGGCTGGGGACAGCCTCACACAGCATCACGTGCCTACTTGAGGACGCTGTGCTCGTGCCGAGTCAGGACCTGGGGTGACCGCCTGCCCCCTTGCTCCTACGTTAGAAGGACACTGCTCTTTCTGACTTAGTGGGGCTCGGCCAGGAACAGCAGACAGAGTTCCCACCTCTGCTTCCCAGGAGAGAGCTAAACGGCGTCCCCAGCAAGAGGATGTCACGTTCCTTCTTAGCTGTCACGGCTACCCCCGGCCCAAGCATCTTCAGCTCATTCTCTGGGTCCCGGCAGCTGTGTGGCCTGTCCTCCGTGGGGTCTGGGAGCTGTCCACTGACACCTGCCCACGGTCTGTGATGGCCGAGGCCCCGGTGTGGCGAGCTCAGGGCACCAGAGGACCTGTGTGAAGGGTTTTGCCTCCTGAGCGGTGGCTGCTTCTGTTTCTGCTCCTCTCCGTGCCCAGCCCGGATCCGCGACCCTGCTTATTTGCCCTCTGGTCACTTTCAGGGGACGACAGATGCTTCCTGTTCTCCATCTCCCCCAGCATGGCTGTGTACACCTGCACGGGCTACAACGACCACTACATGTACCTGAATCATCGGCAGCAGACCATCCCCAATGGCCTGGTAAGGACTTGAGAAGGGCAGGGGTGCGTCCCGCCTTCCTACTGTCCATCCCTGACGGGATCGGCCCCCACATGCCCAGGCCGGCGCGTCCCCCATGTCACTGGGAGCTGTACGCGCTCGGTTACCTGAGCATGCCGGGTTCCCTTCATCCTGCCTGGGCTTTGGGGCCACGACCAGAGACAACAGGACAGAACTTCTCTCATGGAAGGACGGGCCTCTGTTGGGGTGTTTCGGTGGTTTGTGTGCAAATGGTGGATTCGGCCAGTTTTCCTGGTAATCAGGTGGTTGGCCAGTGGCCGTCATGGCTGGAGATGGTGTCGGTGTCAGACCTGCCACCAGGCATTGCTGCCCTGCCACATGCTGAGGGATCGGGGGGCAGCGGCCGGGGGCATGTCCCAGGCTGGGCTCCCTGGACCCACCAGGAGTTGTTGAAGTGACTCACAGAACAGCGTGTGGGGCCCCGGTCAGGGTGACAGTGCAGCCTGTCAGCTCCGTGCTCCAGCCTGGAGACTCAGCCACAGGACGACGAGGACAGGCTGAAGGCCAAGGACAGGCAGAGGGCGCTGGGGTGGCCGATGGGGTCAGGGCTGAGGTGAGGAGCTGGGACTGGCATCCACGCATGTCCACCAGCTCAGCACCTGTGAGCCACTTAGTTTGGGTGAGGAATGTGTCTTCTGCCAGCACCCCAGCCCATTTGTTTTCTTCTTAACAAAAAGTGCCTTTGGGGAAATTCCAGCCCTGTGCTTGCAGAGCCCGGGGCCCAGAAGACTGGTCCACCCTGTCAGGATGGAGAGGGCCCCAGTGCTCTTCCCAGGCTCGCTGCACAGCTCCTACGGAGCCCCCGGAGGACCCCCAGCCCCTCCCAGAAAGGGCAGTTTGGTGACCACAGCGGTGAGGGCCTTGGCCCCAGGAACAGCACCCAGCTGGTCCCCAGTAGTCGCCAGTAATCGGCCCGAGGAGGGAAGCAGCTATGAGTCGACTGCATTTCCCTGCTCGGGCTTGTGCTCCACATTAGTTCCAGGCCTCCCAGAGACCCGAGAAGAGGCGGAGGTGGAGGGAGAAGTGATCAGGAAGGTGGAACAGCGGTTCTGTTCCGCCAGCCGGTGGCTCAGAGCTAACAGTGTGCGGGGCGGTGCAGAGGACGGCTGGGGGTCGCCGGCCCGGCCGCCTCCTGCTTCCTCTCCTTGCCTCATCCCCTGCAGTGAGCGGGTGACTCACGCTCTGAGCGCAATGTCCCGGTCTGTGCAGGATGAGAGTCCCTGCCTGGAGGGCCCAGACACAGTAGGTTTTTCAGCGTCACCTTCTGTGTTGACCTCTCCGTTATTTTAGTGGTTTGGGTCTCTGGGCCCTGGTGGGCTATATTTTTCTTTTTTGTCTTCTGCTGTCACTTGGGCTTCCAGCCAGCGTGGCCCCATGAGAAAGAGCCATGGGGTGGGAGTCTGGACACCTCCGTGGTGGTTCTAGTAACTTGTAATGGGAAACTTAAATGGCGTCAATCTATATATTTCACAGTTAAAAAAAAAAAAGAAAAGAAAATTGCATCCACTTCTCCTCCGCCCTCGTCTCAGGCTGGTGCTTAAGGCTGAGCGAGCTTAGGGTGTCTGATGTCCCGGCTGAGGACGCACTGGCGCTCTTCCCCTCACAGGGCATGGGCGGGCAGCACAATTACTTCGGGCTGTGGATCGATGTCGATTTCGGAAAAGGACACAGCAAGGCCAAGCCCACGTGTACCACGTACAACAGCCCTCAGCTGTCGGCCAAGGAGAACTTCCGGTTCGAGAAGTTGGAGGTGTGGGCGGTGGGCGATCCCCCAGAGTCGCAGCTGGTGAGCGTGCAGCCATTTCTCCACTTCTCGGCTGTACCCCTTTTACTCCTCCCTCTGGGGGTGGTTTATTCCTGATTTGTTTCCGGCAGCTGTTGCTGGCCAGAGGGATGCCCCCGGCTGCACAGCACAGTTGGGGGTCTTGTCGGGGTCCGTGGGGGTTAGTAGAACGAACTGCCCAGGGAGGCAGGGCCTTGTGTAAGGCGTGAACCCCGGGTGGGTGGACTGCCTGTCCGCAAGGTGGGGAGGGTCTGGGGTTCCGTGGCTCTGTGACGAGTCATTGGGCCCTCTGTACCTCGTCACCTCCCTATGATGGTGTGGGGGCGACCTCAGTGAGGGAGCCAGAGCGCCCACTGCAGTGTCCTTGTGGCAATAATAGCATATTGATTGCATGCTAATGAGCTTGAGCTGGCCACCATCATTGAACACCCCCACCTTCCCTTCCTCCAAAGGCCAAGAGCAAGAAGAGCATTCTGGATGTGGACCCCGAGGCCCAGATCCTGCTGGAAAGCTGTGGGCGGAGTTGCCACAGCCAGGGGCTCCGGGAAGTCCCGGAGGACGATGAGTGAGGTGTCCCTGAGCTCGAGTCTTCCTGGAGCTGGAGTGTGGTCCCCCAGGACCAGAGTGCACAGCCTGCAGAACATAGCCCGCCTGGACGGAGCGCACAGCTGCCGACCCTCCCCTCACCCGGCTTGTGCCTCCTGTAACGTAGAGCCACGCTGGTCGTGTCCAGGTGGTCCTGGCCGTGCTCAATCATAACAGAGTAAAATTCCTCTGGTGCCATATGTTGGTTGGTGGGTGTGTCTCCTAGAAATCCCGAGTCAGATTAGCGATGGAATTCTTATGCTTTGTCCATCTCGTCTGGATGAAATCCGAAGAGGCTGAGGTGCCGAGATGCTGAGACCTCTGCTGGAGTTAGCGTTCGTTGGGAACGTGAGCTCTTGCCGTGTCGGAGGGGGTTCCACTTGCCGGGGCTCCCATGGCCTCTGCTCAGACCGTCCCAGTTACACACGGGCCTCGATGGTCCATTTCAACTGGTAAAGCGGCGTTTGGATGTGAATTTGGACACTTTTGGGGAGCATCTTCCTATGACATGGAATTTCTGTATTTATAAAAAAGCATAGTATATTAATGGGGAAAATAGCTGAAGATTTTGAAGATCACAGAGGCATGGGTCCTCAGGAGGTGTTTATAATAAGGTGCCACATCTGCCTTTTTTGGCTGTTTTTAAATGAACGTGTGAGCAAATGGGGAAACCTCCTGGTTGTGGTTCTGTTGCTAGTTTAAATGTGGGGGACTCTCTGGTCCCTAAGGCGAGAGTTCTGTTGATACATACACACGGCAGGTCGCATAGGTTGGTGGTGACGCACTTGACAGTGCTGGCCTGTGTTCTGGCCTCCTGGAGCCACGCCCAGCAGTATCACCCTCCCTGTCAGTGCTGTTCCCGAAGGGGAGGGAGGGTAATTGGTCAGTGTGGACTTGCTTTAAACAGACTCCAGTGATTCCGCAATGCTAACGATGCCCCAGGCGGGCTGGGCCTCCAGGCAGAGCTGCCATCTCCCCATCCGTCAGAGGCAGGCCTGAAGAAACTCTGATCTCACTGTGAGGATGCCCTCCTTAAAGGAGCTGTGGGGCTCATCTCTAGGAAACTTACCTCCTCTTTTTGTCTTTTGCTGCAAACTTTGACCTTATGCAGATCTGACAAAAGCGCAACCTTTTCTTACAAAGTTTGCCCTGATTATAAGCCATGGTAGACTGAGCTCTTTGCATAGTGCAGGCTCTGCATTTTTTACCAGGAGGCTCATCACACTGTGCACTTGGCAGGGCCCCTGGCTGAGCAGAAGGCCTTGTAACTTAGCCTTCAAAAGGAGAGGGCGAGCTCAGACGGCGCACGGAGGTGCAGAGGCGTGACACCTGCAGACGTGGCCGCGATTGATCTTCCTCATAAAAAGCCAGTCTTTAATAGCTTCTCAGGTGCATTATGTGACCTTCTGAACTGATGGAATAGCAGATATGGGATATTAAGACCCTCAAGTATCCTCACCAGAATCCGTAGAATTAGGTCCTGAATCTTCAGTTTGTTGTGGAATTTTTTTATAAAATGCAATTAAATACCTCGCTGCTGAAAGGTCCCTTGGTGTCCGTGCCTTGAAAACCATTTCCTGGTGCCTCTGTCGGCGGCTGGCGGAGAGGGTTACATTTTGCATGCATGCCTTCTGCCCTGTGCTGTTCTAACAAGAGTCAGGTCACAAGTGGGGAACTGTCTCCCAAGACAGCACACTTCCACGCGGAGAGGAGCCTGCCCGGCCAGGCGCTTGGTAACCTGGGGGACGTGGCCCTCGGGTGGGTGCAGGTCAGCCATGCCACTTGCTTGGCATGAGGTTCTGCCTCTCCCCACTGGGTGTGGCTCTGAGCACACAAACCTGCTGAGGATGTCAGCCGTGCCCGGGGCCCCTGGGCCTGACAGACCACGCTCTGCCTGAGGCGGAGAAACCTGTGATGCTAGTTTTGACAAATGAAGAGTTTGTTCTTTTATGAAATGGGAATAAGAATTCAGGTTGTAAAGACCAGCGGTGTCCCTGAAACTGAAGACGGGCTAGGGCCCCAGAAGGTGCTAGAAGGAAGAAGTGAAAGGAGGACGTCTGTGGTGCAAATGTGGCTATTGTTATTTTTTCCCCATCAAATTGTCTTTATTAAAACTATTAACCATATGTGTACCTGGTGAAAAAGGGTGACAGACAAAAGGATATAGCTTGAAGGATGTCTTCCTCCTGTCCCTTCTCCAGCTGTTTTCATTCCTTAGAGGCAGAACCACTCACGATAAAACCGCTGAGGGCTCCTGCCAGAGGGAACTCACTGCACGCCCGGTGTAACAGTGTTTTACACACTGGTGTGTCCCTCACCTTGCTTTGGTGACGATGGCTCCGTATCCACCCCTCTGTCTCCTTCTTTGTCGTCATTGACCTCATGACGTCCCATGATACAGATGCTCCATGTTTCTGGTGTCTGACCATCCCTGGCTGGGAAATGTTTTGTTTGTAGCTAATTGTTGCTCGACTGAATATCCTGTACGTGCGTCTTGCCCTGACTGTGTCCGCAGGATGAACTCCCCGAAGCTGAGTTGTTGGATCAACTGCATGCTTTTCTTTTGAGATTTTGGCAAATTAACAAATCTCTTTCGAGCTCAATATATAATTCTAACATAGGAGAGTGCCTCTTTAACATGTTTTCACCCACAGTATATTAAAATTTAGTTTTTACCTGATACACAAAAACTATAATTTTCTATTTCTCTTGTGAGCGGCCGTGGACAGCCTCATTTTTCAAAAGCCATCTGTATCATATCCTTCACCTGCCTGGTTTTTTAGGGTGTGGGTCTTTTTCTTAGTGATTTGCAAGAGGACTTTTTTTTAAAGATTGGCACCTGAGTTAACATCTGTTGCAAATCGTCTTTTTATTTTCTCTTTTCTTCTTCCCCCCAAAGCCCCCAGTACATACTTGTATCTTCTAGTTGTAGGTCCTTCTAGCTGTGGCATGTGGGACGCCGCCTCAGCATGGCCTGATGAGCTGCCATGTCCGTGCCCAGGATCCCAACTGGTGAAACCCTGGGCCACCAAAGTGGAGCGTGCGAGCCTAACCACTCGGCCACGGGGCTGGCCCCTACAAGAGGGCTTTTTTGAATGAAGAAAAATAGCGTTTGCTGTGTATGGTAAATATTTTTTCTAATTTGTTTGACTTTATTTTTCTGTACATAAATTTTGCATCTTATGTCACATTTGCCAGCATTTCCTCTTAAGCCTTCTGAGAGTTGCAGTTTGCATGGAAAGTTTTCTCCATTCTGAGATAAAAACAAAAAAATCCATGTATTCTGCTATTTCTGTGCTTTCCATTTTTTTTTTACTTCTAAATCCATTCAAAATGTATTTTAAAATATACTTCTATCTTACCCCCAAATAAATTCCAGTACCTTTTATATTAAATGGTGTGCCTCTTCTCACTGACTTAAAATGCTACTTTCTCATCAGCTGAATTTCCCTATGAACTTAGGTCTCTGTCTCATGTTTTAATTACTGGAGTTTGATGATCAAAAGATGTAAGATCTATTCCCCTGTAAGTGCTGTTTTCTGGAATTTTCCTTCTTATGCTTGCCCTCTTATTTTCTCTGATCTTTGGTAGCACTTTGACCACTTCTAAAAAGTTGGATAGTGTTTCTGAGATAGCATTAAGTGGAGATGAACACAGTGAGAACTGACGTTTGGCTAATGTCGGTTCTTGTCCATGAATGGGCACATCTGAGTTTGCTACATTGTCGTTGCTGGCACTGGAAGTGGACGATTTTTTTCCCTAACTGATGATTGTTTGAACCCAGGAAAGCTCTTAATTTTCGACATGGTTTTGTACACAGTTACCTTGCTGAATTCTTTTATCCAGTAGTTCGCAACCTTGAGCCTGCATCAGAATTATCTCGAAGATGCCTTAAAATGCACATTGTGGAGCTCCGCCCCCAGAGGCTCTGATTCAGTGGGTCTGGGGAGGGACCTGAGAATTTTCATTTCTGATAAATTCCCTGCTGACGCTGCTTGTCCAGGGACCTCACACTGAGAACTACTGCTTTTCATTGTTTTTGGTTAATTATGAATTCTCTGGGAGTTTGCAGGTATTCTGATGTTTTTCGTGTGAATTCTTTATTTTCCCTTCCCTTTTGAAGGATTGTTTTTGTTTTTGCTGAGGAAGATTCACCCTGAGCTAACATCTGTGCCAGTCTTCCTCTAATTTGTATGTGGGATGCCGCCACAGCACGGCTTGATGAGCAGCATGTAGGTCCACACCTGGGATCCGAACCTGTGAACCCTGGGCTGCCAAAGCGGAGCACGTGAACTTAACCACTGTGCCGCCAGGCCAGCCACTGTAGTTTTTTGTTTTGTTTTGTTCAGATTTTATGTAAGTCATGTTTTCGTTTTAAAGTTGTGCTGGCTTTCCAAGGTAATTTAGAACCTTTCCTTTTTCAGATTCTAGAAAATACAAATAGAAGGAGTTTCTTAAAGTTTGGGTAAAATTCACCTGGTACTTTTTGGGGTTTGGCAGGCAAGGAGGGGGTTCACCCTTGATGGCCTCATCTCTTTCTCTTATCGTCCGGATTGTTTTAAATCTCTGCTGGGATCAGTTTTGGCAATTTCTATATTTCCTAGTAAATTTTCCATTTTATTTAAGTCTTCAAATTAATTTACATAGGATTGACTGAAATACTTGAAATCTTCTGTAATTCTGGGTTTTTTCTTGTTTTCCTTTCATTTTCCCTAAGTTATGTTCTACCAATTTTGTTTTTTGAGGAAGATCAGCCCTGAGCTAACATCTGCCAATCCTCCTCTTTTTTTGCTGAGGAAGACTGGCCCTGAGGTAACATTCCTGCCTATCTTCCTCTACTTTATATGTGGGATGCCCACCACAGCATGGCTTGCCAAGCGGTGTGTAGGTCCACACCAGGGGTCCGAACTGGCGAACCCCGGGCCGCTGAAGTGGAACGTGTGAACTTAACTGCTGCGCCACCGGGCCGGCCCCCAATTTTGTTTTTAAATTAATTTTGCTTTCATAGTACTTCTTCCTGCTTATATTTATTTTTATTTGTCAGATTTTTTGAGTTGGTTGTTAAATTACTAAATAAAAAAGAATGAAAGTAAGAATATACAGAGCTGTTTTTACTCTGAGCTCTGCTCTTTTTTTTTATTGAGGTCATGATAGTTTATAACACTGTGAAATTTCAGTTGTATGTTATTATTTGTCAGTCACCATATAGATGTGCCCCTTTGCCCTTGTGTCCACCCCCTCAACCTCTTTCCTCTCTGATAACCACTAATTTATTCTCTTTGTCCGTAAATTTGTTTATATTCCACATGAGTGAAATCATATGGTGTTTGTCTTTCTCTGTCTGGCTTATTTCACTTAATGTAATACCCTCAAGGTGCATCCACGTGGTTGCAAATGGGATGATTTTGTGTTTTTTTTGTGATTGAGTAGTATTCCATTGTATATATATACACCACATCTTCTTTATCCATTGATCAGTTGATGGGCACTTGGGTTGCTTCCCTGTCTTGGCTATTGTGAATAATGCTGCAATGAGTGTACGGGTGCATAAGTCTCTTTCAATTGTTGATTTCAAGTTCTTTGGATAAGAACCCAGTAGCGGGATAGTTGGGTTATCTGGTATTTCTATTTTTAATTTTTTGAGAAATCTCTGTACTGTTTTCCATAGTGGCTGTACCGGTTTGCACTCCCACCAGCAGTGGATGAGGGTTCCCTTCTCTCCACATCCTCTCCAACATTGTTTTTTTGGTCTAGTGATTATAGCCATTCTAACAGATATAAGGTGATATCTTAGTGTAGTTTTGATTTGCGTCTCCCTAATGATTAGTGATGTTGAACATCTTTTCATGTGTCTGTTGGCTATCCGTATATCTTCTTTGGAAAAATATCTGTTCCTCTCCTCTGCCCGATTTTTGATCGGGTTATTTGCTTTTTGTTGAGTTGTGTGAGTTCTTTCTCTATTTTGGAGGTTAACCCCTTGTTGGATATATGATTTGCAAATATTTTCTCAGTTGGTGGGTTGTCTTTTTGTTTTGTTCCTGGCATATAGTTTTTTCATAGTATTTTCGTATAACCTTTTGTATTTCTGTGGTATCTGTTGTGATTTCTCCTCTTTCATTTTTAATTTTATTTATTTGAGCCTTCTCTCTTTTTTTCTTAGTGAGTCTGGCTCAGGGTTTGTCCATTTTGTGTATCTTCTCAAAGAACCAGCTCTTAGTTTCACTGAGCCTTTCTACTGTTTTTGTTTTTTTTTTTTTTGCTTTCAATTTCATTTATTTCTGCTCTTATTTTTAGTATTTCCCTCCTTTTGCTGACTTTGGGCTTTGTTTGAGCTCTGCTTTTTTAGCAGCACTGCATAGATTCAACAGATGTGTGCTCATGGTTACCTTCTAGATTTTCTTCAGTTGTTATTTTGATTTTCTCTTGCTCCCAAGGGTCTTAAAATTTTGGTGTGCCAGAGAATTTTCTCACAAATTCTCTTGCTCCTTTTTAGTTCTGTTGCACAGTGATTAGAGAAGTCACCTAGATTATGTCTGCTTCTTGGAAT